CATCTAATATCTTAAAAGCTTAGTTCACAGGTTCTGATTTTTATTTCCAAGTTTTTGTTTCTGAATAGGACCTTCGAGATAAGTTATAACCTTACAATTTCACACTACATTTACTTCCTGATAGTAACCTCTTCATTAATGGTTATTGATTTCTACTTCTTCGCAAATTATTCAAAGTTCTAATTCCTCACATATCCAAAAAACTTGTCATTTAAACTAAGTCTCTATGTAGCATTATTGATTTCAGTTCAAATCTTCGAGAAGTTCATTTATATAATTCAAACAAAAAAGAAAAAAAGACTTATCTTTTTAAATTATATCTCCAAAACTGTACTCTTCCACTTGACAACTTACTTAAAAAAAAGCTAAACAACTATTTAATTAATCACAACTTTAATGTACACACCTTAGATTGAAGTACATCAGTACAAATACTTCAATAATGTATATTTGCACATAAATACATTTATACATTTTCTTAGTAATTGATTGTTTTACATGTGAAAGAAACATCATATTAGACATGAATCATTAAGATACAGTTTGTTTGTTTGTTTTTCATATAAATGATTAGCCTTTGAGTACACTTATATGAATATGAACATAATGGCATATTATTTGACAAATGTATGTATACAGATATACCTCTATATTTAAGTATGACACTGGATATTCAATTAGTATACAGTGTATTTGTATTGTTATAAACAATAAAAATGACATTAGTATATAAATTTATCATAGAGAAGTATTTCTCAATATTCTAAACATATTTCATTAGTTCATTATGTTACATTAAGATTAAATTTTTTTTTTAAAAATTATTTAAAAGTCAAAATATTGTCAAAAACTAAGAATTATCGCCTTCGTTTTACTCGACAATAAAAAGTAGGTAAGTAGGTAGGTAGGTAAGGAGGTAGGTGGGTAGGGGACTAAACCAAAAAATAAGTTTTCTTTTCCATTAATTATCTCGAAACAAAAATGTTTTGTGGCCATACGATGGTAACATTAAATAAAAGCATGCAATTGATTTCTAGTTGACATTAATGTAAAGGAAGACACAATTTATTTAGATAAATGAATAACTAATTATTATTCACTAAGTTTGTACATTATGTTTGCATATTATTTTTTTGACAATAGACAGATAGACAGAGTAAATAAACAAGATGTAAACAGATAGCTATTTAAATATTCTGTAGGTCAGTATTGGAAGGAATATACACAATCACCGTGCTGGTAATAATAATTCTAATAATAGTAAGTACCACGATACACAAACACACACACACAAACGTTCACGTTATTTAACTTTTCAGAATTTTTTGACGTCGTGTTTATCTTAAATTGTAGTATATATTTAAAGAATAGAAAATAATTGACCACTGTCAAGATGTCACATCAGAATAAATAAAAGCTACAATGAGAAGCCACAGTAGTTGACCGCTTCTATTCACTGCTTATAATTCAAATAAGGGAGATTATGAAGAAAGTAAGAGCTTGTGTCATCGGACTGTTCAAGTTATCCTATAAGTTATTACTAGTTAATCAACTCTGCACTTGAAAAAAACCATATCTAGATGAGAATGGTTCTAAGCGTAAAGAAATTGCCTTTAAACATAGTTAATCCATTTCTTTTTAACACTTCGTATTATTTTCGTCTTGTGTTACTCCAACTTTCCTACTGTTAACTCATATTGTAAAAAACAATATATTCACTTTATTCGTTAATCAAGGATTTTAACATCAGTGAACGGTATAATCAGTCTAATTTTTGAACCTAAATTGATAAAAGAATATCTTGTGACAGAGATGACTTCATTTGATTACCTTTGAACATTTACATCCTGACAAACGTAGACTACTCCCGTTATCAGAATAAATATCTTAGTGACAATGTCGCACGCTTTCACTTTCATCTGTATTGAAGCTATCCAACATATTACTTTCATCAAAATATGATAATTGTAACTATCGAAGGAACTTTAATTACTAGTACATAATTCTTAGTTGGAATGTTATGTAGATTAAGGATTTGAAAAACCATCAGGTATTGTATTTCCGTCAATGAAGTGTTAAAGTTTATCAGTTCTTTACTGCAAACGTTATCAGATGCCATGTGATGCTCACATTAGCATTGATACCATATCGAACTTTCACTAATAACACTACCATGCGAACTCACAGCCAAATAACTTACCTGCTCTCCACAAAAGTACTAATGTATATGCTCTTTTTCCCTACACTATACCAATACCTAAAATCTAGGCACACATATTAAATATCAAACACTGTGATTGTAATACAGATCTAGCTGCAACGAGGTTTCTGATACCTTTGGGTGATTGAATTTAATTGAATTTCATTGAAATCGTGAACCGATCCCGGATAGAACACCATTGAAAGATTGAAAACACTAAACGGACACTCCGTCTTAGTATTGGACTCCTCAGAAGTGTACACTCACGACTCTGGGATCCCATCGGATTCGAACTCGAAACCTCTAGCGCACGCACGACTGCCTAATCCCAAAACTACTGAGCCGACGTCCTACGGTTTAATGTCTAACCTTATCCAATCAACGACATTGAAGTTCATGAATCAATAATGAAGTTTTCCAATCATCAACTTATCACCAAAACATGTCTGTGTGAATACCTAGAAGAAAGTTACATTATTATCCGTTGTTTAATAAAGATGAATCTTGCTTAATATAGGTATGTCATACATTCAATCCACCTGGAACTCTTCTAGGGTAAACAGTTTTCAAAATCCCGGATAAAGGATGGCTGAGCCTAGGGTTACCAGTCCTCCCTCGTAATAAAGAATCTCACTACGAGAGACTAATGAGGAAAAGTCGTCTAAACCGTTTGAAATTTGCCATGAGGATTAGAGGGTCTCCATTCAGAAAAGTTACCACTCTTCACGGTAAAAGTTAGGATTTTCCGAAAGTCAAGATACCGACACCCTTTCTAACAACCAGAACAACATTTAATATTGGTAAATGAAATGTCCGGACAATATAAGAGACCGTGAAAGTTATCCAAATAGCAGAAAAAAAAGAAAAGATACGGCCTGTCCGAGTTTAAAATAAATGAAACCCATTGGACATAATCTGGAGAAGAAGACTGAACTAAGAGTGGTATTATACTCTGACCACAAAGAAGATGTCCTACACACACAATAAGTTGCACTGATGCCGTCTATTGAAACTTATACGACAGCAATCTCATAAAGCTCTTATTCTAAATTGTTTATAGCCTAAACTAAAACATTCTCAATCACCCATTAAACCCAGATAAATCTAGGCCTTAACACAAGTAATAAATGTAAAGAATCGATCAGTCTATTATTAAATCTTAAGCCTTAACATTACATGTATATGCACACCATGCACATAAGTCGAATCAAAAATTGATTTCCCCAGATTTTCTAGTTTAGCACATTTTAATGTAAATAAATGTATATGGAATACATTGAAAACAATCAAGATTTGGTCATTTTAACAAAAAATTAATTTTAAACCTGAATTCTTATAGTCTTATGATAAATTTACCATAAGTAATACAAACTACAAATGAACTTTCGTTCTTAAACCTTCCTACAGTGTTCATTTGTAATAATCTTCTTTTTGTGTGATAAAACATGAATAAGGAGGACCTTGTATGGCGGCCAGACTTAGGCCCATTTATTAGAATCCATAATGACTTTGACGGTTTAGTGTTCGGGATTTGTTAATCAGGAAGTTAAATGACATAAAAGAATAACCCGTTTGACTCATTAGTATAGAATGACAGATAATAAGCCACTAATTAAAGAAATAGTTATGAATGTATATTGATAAGTTATCAGTTCAAACTGATATGAGATACAGTTATTTATTACATATTGCACTTTAGTGAATCTTTTCACAAGTATTAAAACGAGTGCTTTTCATTCTTTATATTACAGCATGGATAAATTTTCGATGCTCTCCGAGATACTTTCGTGCTATGTTAAAAAAAGTGTACGATAAGCTAGAGCTAGATTTTTTGGAACATTTTGCTAACTCTAGGTTCTCTCATTTTACTTACCTTCATAATCTATCAAAATTATCAATGGATCACTAATTTTTCAATTATCAAGAGACTAGAGGAAACTTTGAGAAGAATGAACAAGAACTGGATAGAACTAGAAAAGAAGGCCCAGGACAGAGTGGGTTGGAGAATGCTGGTCGGCGGCCTATGCTCCATTGGGAGTAACAGGCGAAAGTAAGTAAGTAAGTAAGAGGAAACTTAAATGTTGGTATGAGAAATCTTTTTAACTTCCAACTTACCTTAAGTATATTCACTTCAATAAATCAAATAGTATTAGTGGACGTAACGCTCGCATTACGCAATATATTTATACAAAAAGATATATAGATATGAATTACTTAGTTTTTTACAATTTACCTCAGAAACGACCGTGCAGTGCTTCCAGGTTTTCCATGGAGGTCTAGCTTCAAGTGACTCATGATTTCAACTATATAAAATTACTAAAATCTCCACAAAACCCTCTTCCGACCATAAATATTTGTTTGAAAAATAAGGCAATTAAGTTTACTTTAAACTAACTATCATACCGTGTACTATGAGAAATATAGATTATATACAGATAAGACAAGTTATTTAATGCACACAAAATGTAGATATCTAATGTTCTAATAACGTTTATTATCTTGTGGTTAGGTTTTTCACATTATTCAATAGGTTCATCATGAGAACAGTGGGTCAAATAAGATAAGTTGATGTCCTCGAATAATTGTCTAATGGGTCTGTTAATTTAGAGTTCTCTGACTTAAATGTTATTCGTTTACATCATTCATCTGTTGGAAAACGAATGAATTAGTAGTTTGCAATAAAAATAAAACGTCCTTCAAACTAAATCCCCAATAATTTTTAACATTAGACTTTTCTCAGTAAACTCAATGGTAATATCTATAATAATAATAATAATAATAATAGTTATTTTAAACTTACATGCTTCTTTGATTTCTGTCGTATTGCTGATAACTTTTTTCGGTCTTTGTAGCTTAACCACTTTGTTCCACGCTTCACAATGACAAACATATGTGTCGAACCATTCTTCCACATCTTTAGCTCTGACTTCCAAGCGTAGTTTCCAACGTTTGCCATCTGGATCCGGTAAATTATCTGAGTTCAATTTTTGGATCTCCAATATCCCGGACTCACCGGGACCTTTGTATGGTATTGTTTGTTCAGCACATTTGATAGCAGCATGTGAAACTGGTTCAGCGACACATTCAATTGTAGCTGGTTTATTTTTTGTTGTATAATACAATGGTTTAGGATGCTGAATAAATACTGGAACACCCTCTAAATGTGTTTCATCTGGTTGTACTAAATCCTCTTGTGAATCAGCTGGAATAGGATAAGAAAGTGTCAGGAAAAGTTCAGCTACAGTCAATAGAAATCTTTGTAACATTATTCTGTGAAATATTTAAAATTGACTAAGTAATTCTAGTGTATTAAGTTTTCGTACTAAATAACTTGTATACAAGCATTTTAAATGGGACTAGATGAGTACAAAAATGATAAACTATTCTGAAGATTATTTTTATATGCATCATATAAAGTGAAAACTAAGCAGATTTCGCTTGTTATGAAGCCAACCAATTATGGAGTGATTTATCAATTCTGTTTTAACCAATCAGAACGAAGATTTACATGCAAACAAACCAATCATCTCGTTGAAATAATACGGTGTTTTGAATACAGCTAATATGGAACCAAAATGCACTACTTGAAATCACTTGTTTTGATTTAGCTAAATCCTTCGAACTATGTTAGATTAATTACTGTTTTTTGTATATTTATTAACCATAAAAATTATTGCTATCTTTCGCTAAAAAAAATACTTGATTGGTTTATTCCGTATAATTTGGGGTATGAAGAACTTGATCTATCATTATGAGTTGAAATTTAAAATCAGATAGTTCATTGAATGATCGCAAAACCACAGAAACCAAAGCCATATAACTCAAGTTAAAAGGATTATATAAAAAGACGTCTGGAACCTGAATCTGTATTTCTTTTATAAAACGAATAGACTTGGAAGCTTGTTATTCATGTATTCTCTGTTAGCCGTTTAATATCTTACCGAAATCTTTCTGCTAGCTTCATTATTTGGGAATGCAATCGAAAATGAGTAAAAAATTTTCTAGGTATTCTCCTTGGTGCCTTGCTTAGTTTTGAATTATTAGCAATAAAAGATTCATGATGTAAAAGCAAAACAATTAATTTTGTAACAACTCATATTTACTGCTCCTTGTTCACGTTACGAAATTCAATTGGGAATTCTTAGTTTAAGTTACGCTGCTGCTCATTTAACGAATAGCTAGACAGATTTATGCCAGTTATTTAAATGATAAATATAAACCGCGAAAACAAAATTAGGTAACTTTATTTTATTTAGTGAAGAAAACGACATTTACTTACTGAACTATTTTGTCGACAGAACGATAAAGTTAGTAAGGAAATTGTGTTACTTGATGAAATCGAAGGCATTTTTGCTAATTATCATATAAATTCAAACCAAGTGTATGTTTTTGACCAAAAATACTAGATTATTACAAGAATAGCCTTTACTTATGAGGATAAAAACAAATGTCGTTTGAAAAGACAGTAGGTCAAAATGCTTTGCGATCATTGTCATATAAGTTTAATTTTCATGATTAGTATTCACAGAACTTATCAGTAAAATGCATATTATAACTTTTCCACATTCATCTCTTCTGCATAAAACAACTCCACATAAGTTAAAATATCTTACTAGGCATGTTGCAGATGTGTTTTCTGGCCAATATAACTGAAGTAAGTAAACAAATAAGTTACCTTATGATAAAAATTGTCCTTTGGCAATCTGGTCTGTAAAAAATTAACCCCGATTCATGAAAATTATGTTTAATTAAATCATGACCAACTATGTTTCATCGTATTTTCGATACTAAAATATAATTTTAAGGGAACACTGACCTGTGTTTTTTGATGATAAAAGAATTAAACATTTTATGCTCAAGTTGATTGACAAACAGGATTATTTTGTTGGTTGAGAAGACTAACCTAAGTAAACAGAATCAGTGCATATGAGTCAGTGAAATATTACCATGTTTATTGTTTCTTTAACTGTATCCATTCTACATTCACAACAAGTACCCATTGAAATTTATGTGTAAATCTACTCATCTTTTAATGAAAAAGGTTAGTTGCTTAAGTTTTTTCAACGATATTGAATTACGTTTTAATGAAGTCATGTTTAATGTTCGTTTTTAAACGGGATCCTGTATTGTATAAGTAAAATCCCCTTACATTTTTCGATTGGTTCATATAATTTTTGATAAAAAACCCTAAATAATTTTATTGGATTGTAGTACTGCTACTGATTATCAGTAAGTAATATAGATGTTATTGAGATTTTTGTTCGCTAAGGCAACTATCCCAATTGTAGCACATAGTAATCCTATGGAATCACCATCGTAGTAAATGCTTAACAAAACTATCTAAGAAACAATGACCACATTTAAAAATGGTGCAGGAATAGGTTATTCAAGTTTCGAAATATTCTCTTATATCACTACTAGTACAATAGAAAATAAATTATTATCCCGAAAATTAATTAAGAATTCTAGTTGCAAAATACAACTGAGCTAATGCTAATAAGCCCATTAATTAATTTTAAAAACGAAGTATCCACTTCATATAGAAGTAATTGTAATGGATATTAGTGGAAATTTAATCAAACAGTATATTTCAGATATCTCCTTAAACAGGTTCTGTATTTTAAATGTAAACAATTTGAACAATTTTTGAATAAGTCAATTATTTCTGACCTGTCACAGATTGTTATAAGAGAATACCAGTCACTTAATAAATAATTGTGACATTTTCAATGGCTACAAACGGAAATAATTCATTTCATTGAAATAAATGGCAGATTTTCTATGTTCATCATTTGATAGATGGAAAAGAAAGTTTTCACACTATATACAGAGTTCTTTACTCATTTCAATTTTTATAAATCTGTATTGTAATGCACTTGTGACAGTCATGGGTACATGTATGCGAAATAATTCTTCTTTTTAAGCCATTTTGTTTGCTACACTAAACTACAGTGCATTCTTAATGTTATGGGAAGAGGTTTACATTTGTTATTCACTATTTAAACTAATTTTCTGTTATTTTTTTACAAAGATTACATTCGTATCTTGCTTTTTTCTTTCTAAAAATAAACAGTTCATTAACATAATATTTTATAAACAAAACTTAATTTAAGTGCACAATCTAGTATATGTCCAACATGTTTTTCAACAAAAATACCTGTCAACCAAATATACCACATAGTAGAAAAACAAAAAGTTAAATACTGATAGACAAATTAGGAGAGATAGCCATTTTAGTTGCTCATATCAGATATCCTTACAAGCACATTTATAAAAAACTATACAGAGCAATTACAACCTTCATTTCATAGTTGACTGTGTATGATTTCATTGTTATTTGAATTACTTGATATTAACCTACAAGAAGTTGGAAAGATAACGGGTTTCTTTCTTTCGTTTATTAGGTAAAATCCAAAAACCGCTAGTTTAATTTTAAAATGAATTTTAAAATGCTTTAAAACAGAGTGATCAGTTTTTTTCACCCTAGAATCCAAATCGCATTGAGATAATTCAATCCTATATTTTTATTATTTACTTTTTGTTGAAGAAAGCAGATTTAAATGCAAGACGTAGAAAACTTCCAAAACTAAATAAATCAATGTATAAGTGGAAGTCACTGAAGATATTCACTATGACAAATCATGGCATTGTAGTTTTTATTTAGATAAAAGATAAGTGAAACGTTGAAAAACCATGCTTTAAGAACTTGATACAAAACAGTGATCTTTTGACACTCTATTTAAACTCGGTGTTAGTTGTATTTGAACAACTAGAGAAATCCGAAACAGTTAACTACTGTTCTTCGGTATCACGAATTACATATAAAGCTCATATCAAAACTTTTTCTGTAGTCGATTTACAAGTTTGCACCGTCGAAATTGTAGCTATAACCTTATTACTCAAAGAAATTTTGCGAGATAATTTTCTTTTTTCCAGTAACCTGTATTCTACAACCTCAGACAATCGCTGGATCATTACGCACACGATTCTGATAACCTCAGTCACTTCATAATTTTAAATGATGATAGTTTACACATTTTGTCGAGAGTAAGACAAAACTTTGCCATGGTAAAACTTCCATATCCTTGTCACCTATTGACGAAATTTACATTGAAGACTTCGAACAAAATGTATTAGTTTTCTTGTAACATAATACCATTTAAAGTTTGAGGATACAGTATCGGATTGTAGGATAATGTTGTCTGTACACTGCCTATTGAAACTTATATAACAGCATTGTAGTGCTTGAGAGGGTTAACTATTTACCAATGTTCCATATTTGTTGGAAATGAATCCTTTTTCTCTGAAATTATAGCAAATGGTACGCAACAACCTATTCAATAAAACTCATTTATGCTCAAGATAATTTTTAACAATTTGGTATGATTCATTGTTCGAATATTTAAACCATTTTCTTCACTCAGTTTGGTTTAACTTTATTCAGCAAAACAACAAAATTCTACTCGACAAAAAGTTCTTATCATTTTCATCCAGTCATCCTCCAGATTAGGACACATTTAATTGACTTGTACATTCCTTTTAACTGCAAGATGGTTGTTTCATAGAATGTATTTTCAGCTTCATCTTTATGACCTTCAGAACTATAAAAATAGGACCAAAGGTGTTGAATAACACCAGAAACTTTTAGAGTTCACATTTTGACTACTTATAAGTAGATGAAAAATAAAACAAAATATATTGACATGACAAAAACACTGGTCCTTCAGGTTGTAATAACTTATTTAGAAATAATATCCTTAATTAGTATTGAAAGGCTAACTCCATTTCTCTGAATCACTTAGAGGAGCACTTTATTTCTTTTTCACAGTGTTGAAACTGTTCCCCTCTGTAGGAATTATTTTTAATAATCGAGTGATTGATTCCATGACACGTAAACATTGAGACTACTTAGCAAATAACCAGTAAAATCTCAATACATCATCATATTTAGACAAGTGGAAGCCATCAAACTCTTTCGAAATATTATTGGTTATAATCATATCATATAAAGTATTGTAAGATCATTGGTGTGATACTCAAACAAAGATAGAAATAGATCTATGAAGGAATAATAATTAGGTTAACGGTAAATTTGTCAAACATTTTACAGTTCTCATCGATTCTCCTAGGTTTATAACAATCAGTACTCAAAAAGTATGATCAACTTTTTAACCTGGATAGTATCTGGGTAATCTATATATA